GATTGTATGGAATCTGGATTGGTCGATTATGAAACGTTTGGATTGGCATGGTCAACGGGTTTGACTTGAGCCCTCAAGGCCCATTGGCCCATCCTGAGGTGCGTCCAAAGTTTAGCCCGTAACGGCTAAGTTCGCTCTCACTCTGAAGACTAAACAAAGTATGCCCCTGGACACTCAGGGTATAGATCCTGTATTGGTAAGCCTTGGAAGATCTTGGAAGATGAAGATCTGATGTGTTTTGATGTTACTGACCGCCGAGCGCAGTGTGGAGTCGCGCAGGTTTCGTGAGAGGCAAGACTAGTGACTAGACAAACAAGGGCATGATCAATTTTGGTGAAGTGTATTGCTCACAGAAAGATTGGTGACCGTTTACACAAGATACATGAATATATATATATATATTTGCTATTGAATGTATATATATATATACACAATACATTACAATATTTTTGCTTATATTTGACTGTATACTGATTGAATATATATATATATATAATATAATAGTGTTATTTGATCTTGACATGCTTTGTAGGACCAAACTTCATATGGGATCCCTTTGGTCATCATTCTCACCCATGAAACCAGAAGTCTTCGGCCGTTTCTTCTTTTTACAATCGAAGAGATAGCTTTGTCCTTGGTAGAAAGATGCCCATGAGAAGGTTTATTGAATCACCCCGCTAGCCCCAAGACTCGTTAAACCCGTTATGTAGAGAGAGGAACGCAAACTGCAAGAAGACTTTGAGGATCACGGAAGCAAAGGAAATTCCTTTATGGGTCACCTGAAGATCGTTTCTTGTTTTGGGCCAGGTGGTGTGTCCATGTGAGAGTATTGGAACTCAATTCTGCAGGAGAGAAGATGTAAAGACACGTTGGAACTCAGCGGTTTGGGCTTTGGAGATGCGCAACTTCAAGCAATGCTCCTCGCACTTCATTGAAGCAGCAAATCACAGTATGCACATGTTTGGAGCCAGTACTTACTTGTTGGTCGGAGAGTTATAGAAAGAAACACGAACTTCAAAATGCCCAAAGATAGGGCTCTGGGGTTGCCGACAATTGCCGTGAAGGATGTGTAGATGAGAAGCTTCCAAGTCAAGAAAACTGATAGTACCAGACCAATAGATATACACCTTGCAATTATATATTTATATGATGGGCGATTTTGCTTAGTGCAGAAGCAAACATCATCCACCAGGCAGGGGTACTCTTCAAAAGAGTGATAGTAGCAAAGATCCGATGCAAGAAGTGTCAAGAGGTCGCGGATGGTCGTAATTCCTGATCGGGTGAAGTCATACTGTATCCTTGGTGGACTCCTATCATGTGATGACTGATTGAAAGGGAGGTGAGCGAGTCTGCAGAAAGTTTGCGGACTGTGAATTCTCGGTGGTCTCAACATGTTCGCAGAGGCTATGCAGGCAAGGTGAGATGACCCAGCAAATGAAGACTAAGATCATTTGAGTTTAGATATGGACCACGGGACTGTACTCCGCTTGGACTCGAACATTGTGTATACAGACCTTTCACCAAGAAGTACACTATATATATATATATCCATAGGACTTATGGCAGTATATGACAGGCAAAAAAACGGAACCCCCAAAGAGGATCCATTGATCCATTCAACAGTAGCTTCATCGATCTTCATCTTACAGCTCCAGCTACCTCCGCTTCCATCTTTACAATATTTATTCTTTGGGTCAGCCATTTGCGCACCACCCTAGCTGGCCCGGTGGCCCCTTCCTCCGAGGCTGGGTGATCGGCAGTTGCTGCCCTTGGCCAACGTCACGCGCTTCCGCGTGCGCGATGCGCGCCTCACCGGCGAAGGGGTGGAGGCGCGCCGCTGGACGACAGTCGGGACCGATGATCGGTTTGATCGGTTTGATCAGTTCGATCGAGCCTTGGTTGGATTGGTCACTGTTTCAGACAGACTGGCACGGTGTTTGTTTTTCTTTTTAGCGATGTTAGTCCGTTGTGATCAGGGAGAGCTATATGGTTGATGTTACTTGATGTTGATGCCTGCATGTCCTTGCATGCTGAAACACAGAACATATCTTTACTCGCAAAAGTCCAATGGGCAACATGACCGAACTTTAAGGCACGAACTCATATTGTTTCAGACAAGGTACATCAAGGACCGAACATCTCTGAACACCCGTATCCCACAGCCCCTCCGCTCTTCGAGTGCTCTAGCAGACGGACATCTCCGTGAGGCCTTGGTGTCCAAGTTGCCCGCGCAGACGGAGATCGTGGATTTGACTCACAATGAGACCGCTTTGCGGGGCAGTGTGGCATTCAGCCAACGCATGCAGCGCAGGCGGGTGGTGTTTCAGAGTGGGCGGGTGGTTGGACCCCTGGGTTGGTGAATTATATAACATAATGTGCTGGCTGGGTGGAGTGTGTGTGTGTGTTTGTTAATTAAGATCTATAGTTTGGTATCTGTTCATTGCTTTTAAGTTCTTTTTCAGGATATGATGTGCAGAACTTCGGATGCAATAGAGATTCTGAGTGCTGTTGGCCTTGAGATACACAATTTCTTATTATGTCAATATCTAAGAACTCCTCTAATTGCATGCACTGTGGAAAATTATCAATTGTATGTTTCCGAACTTCCTGTATAGGACCACCCTGTATGAATCATATTTGTGTTGTCAAAAGAGTTCAGTTCCTTTGTACTAGCTGTAACCATTTGTAACCACTCTGTGTTCATTCAGCTCGGATCCCGGACATTGGATTTGTTTTTTCGGCCTGATCTCGTAGCTGGGTTCAGGCTTTTGCCTCAACTCCGTTGGTTGGATTTGTCCATGAGCCTCGGTTTTTCCAAGCCAGATGGGTGCGCATGGTGCACGACCCAGAAAACTATACCATCGCTAAACCTTCTGCTAGACAGATGGTATGTACTGTATCCTCAATCATATAAGTGGAAACCACCTGATTGTAGAGGAAAACGCTCTTCCCAGGCGGGCCATTTTCCACTTCCATGATGATTCCAGGGAGTGTAGATAAATGGTGGACAGAGGCAGTTGGTAGGTATATAGGGGAGGTGGATGGCGATTTCACAGGTCCGCGAATGTGCAAACCCGAATTCCCTTTGGTTGACCCGAGTTCCCTTTGGGGTAGCGGGGTAGCTTGTGAAATGAATACCGAGAGCATTGTTTGTTGGGAGGTCCCTTTTGTCGGAGCAACTTCTGGGGAAGCCTTCAGAGAGCTAGTTGGGAACAAAAAATGATCCTTGGATATGATCCCGTTGAAGGCTCAAGGATCCCAATTTGAATGTGTTTCTTTGTCGATTGTGTGGCAAAGTATCAAGAGCCACAGCAGGAGGGTGATCATCTCGAGATCAGGGGGAGTCCTATATGAACCAGTGTATACGGGTACTGTACTCATTTCAGATTCTCCACCTCCACCCGTTCAATTTGCCGCAAAACGGACTTCACCGGGCCCTGCTGGACGCTTCAACGGTCCGCTCACTGAGGAACAACCTGCGTGACGCCGCCATCCAGCCCTTGGCCTTTGGTTTGCTGTGTTGTCCTTTGCTCATCCGCTTGGCCGCTAGATGAGAGAAGCAACTCTCTCTCTTTTGGGTGGTTTTCAGGTAGAAGGACGGTGTTCAGGTGCAAGGACGTGCCTTTGAGGCAAGGCAAGGGATGGAAGTCGAAAGTAGTCGAATGATGGAAGGCTTGGCTGAAGTTTGATCACCCCAAACAGTCTGGATTTGTTGTGTAAAGAAACAATAGGTGACTCAAAGGTCAGTCCGCACGTCGGTGATGCAAAGAACGGTGATTGTTTGATCCCGAAACTTGCAGCCTTATATACAGTCGGGGGTCTATCCAATTTCGTTTTGTAGGCGTAAAACAACATGACAAACAGTTTAGTGGCAAACCTGTACTTCCCAAACGGTGGTTCCTTGCCGCCCAAGACACGGTGTTTATTGGGAAGATGTTCTCTATTCAGTCGCCCATAAATAAAAGTATTGAAACACACATACACACACCAGAAACAAACTTGATATTAAAAACACAAACACAATATATATAATATATAATATATCAACAAAGTCATCCACTGGGCTTTGACTGACCGTTTTGACCACAGCTGCAGCTAAGGAGTTAAATCACAACTTCCTCGAGGAAGGCCGGAGGAACGACACGTGGTCCGCCGCCGTCTTTTGGGATGGAACGACTGTCCGCCGGGTCTGAAGGCGTGAGCACTCACTGTGTTTATTGGTACGATCTGTACGCTCCCGAAAACGGATCCATGGATCCGGGTCGGATGGGACCCGGAAAGGCTGTTTTCCTCTATAAACCAGTGGTTTTCAGGGTCCATGTGGGTTTTTCGCGGAGTAAAGGATTGGGATGGATTGGGTATTACATGATCGCGCTGTACATGGGTATACTGTATTACATTTGTTGAATTTTGTTGACATGTACTCGTGCAGGATGGAGACCGTTCAAATCTAGGCCCTTTGCCTAGGCCTTGATTCTAGGCCTAGGCAGAGCAGCCCTTCACACACCACTTGGGACTGGATGGCCACGGCCCACTGCGGGTCGGTCCAGCGATCCGTGGCTCCTGGCCCATATCCTAAGAAGGTGGTTAGACCCCCCGGGCACCCACCCCAACCACCTTCGAAACGGAGGTAGTTGGAGCCCTAGGGTGTATAGACATATGTTTTGCAGTAAAGGGATACGCCCTCAGCTACTAGATCATTGGGAGACTGGTTTTATGTGCACAGACCCAGAACATGCTTGCTGTACTCTGAAGGCTATCTTCAAGATTACTTTGTGTATTAAGTTTGTATCATATCTCACCTAAATGATCGCCGATGTGCTTTGACTCCTCAAGATTGGTTCTCGGACTTCTTCTCCCACATGATCCACATCTTCTTGATAAAACAAAGCTTGATCTGAGGGACGGCCAGTCCTTCACCATCCGAGAAAACATCAACTGACCGTTTCACAAAAACAGGCCAAGCCTTGGGAGACCTGGTGGCCAGCCATCCGCGTTTGATGCGCTTGTCACTCCACGGCAACGCGCTGAACTCCCTCGGCGGCGCTCAGCTCTTCGAGGGGCTGGCGACCAATGCACGCGGCTCGTCGATGTTTGGGCCACACTCCTTGAAATAGAAAACGTTGACAAACAGCAGAGGGCGTTCATGGTTTTCCAAGGGGCCATGTTTCACTTCCATGATTCATGTCTTTTTGTGTGTTTGTTGTTGTCGTCGTTGTCGTTGTCGTCGTTGTTGTTGTTGTTCCCGCTTTCCGACAGCTGAGTCTCCAGGGTCTTTGCTTCAGACACGAATCACTGGTTCTCTGGGCCCTGGGAATGGGATATACCCAAGCTCCTAGTGATGCTGCGACCGCTCTTGATTGAAAGACATCCCACACCCCAAAGCCCCATCTCAGGTTGGAATAAAAAGATCTTAAGAGGAACTGGTGGGATTGTGCTATCCAGTGAACCAGTGGCTTTGGTGAACTCTCAGTTCTGCATTTCGCGACGCCAAGGCCAAGATGGCCAGCTCTCAGATTTGGACGTCGCCTGGAACCACTTGGATGCTTCTCCCAGCGTGTCTGCTCCGTCCGCGGCCGCCGCGCTGGCGCTGGCAGAGGTGTTGCGCATTTCAGTGACGGGGACAACAAGGGACCTGGGCAGGACGGAGGCGACAGGTCCAGCGGCGAGGAACGAGTTCGTTGGTGAGACGAAGAACGGTTGGCGCAAGTCCACGAGTGCCGGCCTTTGAGAAGAAGTGGTATAGAACAAAAGTCAAAAGGTTGCTTGGCAATTGTGTGACCCCAGCATCCCAATGGAATGAATGTATGGCTCAAGAGGCTTTCAGAGATGTCTAGATGACATCCTTCAATGTTGCCTTTGTGGAAGGATGTCATTATTTCAAACGGTTGTTTGTGGATGTGGGACAGTACTCTGACAAACCCTCAATTCAATAATTGATATATAAAGGTCTCGCTTTGTTGATTGATGGGTATGTGTTAGTGTACCGAGTGGATCCGAGTGGTGAAAACACCACACCAGCGGCAGTTTTACAATACAAAGACACCCACAAGAATGTCCATCAAGGTCCATGTCTCTTCCAGCTGCGGAAGCCGCATGTCTCAGGGTCACCTGGCTGGAGGGACAGGTTTCCAACAGACTACAGGTTTCCCAGACACGCTACACATGCGACAGAAAGCAGTGTGCAATGTCCTGCTAACCCCTGGGTGCTATGTCCTACTTCACCCAAATGTTTCACGAGAGACAGAACACCCAAAGAATTGGGTCAGCGCTAGGCGACCTCCCAGGCAACGAACGCCTGGAAGAAGGACAACATAGACCACAAAGACCCATTTGGTTGGGGGTCCCCCTATAAAATAAGACACACCCAGGTCTGTTTCAGCCCATCTCACACCGCCCATCTCGGCACCTCCGGCTCGCGCGGGATCCGCTCAGGTCACGCTTTATCATTTGGATCTGAGTTACAATAACTTGGGCCCGACCAGCTGTGAGGCCGAGCAGAGAAGAGCAAATCAGTCATTGTTTGTTTGTGCGACTTGATTGAGAGTCTTTTGAGTTTGTGATTGATGAGTTCCGGATTGGATTACTGTGTCTATAGATGCCTATAGTGTATATAATGTGTATATGCAGCATATCAAAGATGTCCTCAACACCTTCTCAACCCTCTCATTGCTGAATATGGTTGATCTTGTTTCTTGGCATCTCACGTTCGCACATGAGTTTCCTCGCACCTCTTGGCGCCGACAGATCATCGCAGAGGGCTTGAGGGACAACCATTTCCTCTATGGCTTGCACATGGTGGGCAACGCTGCACCTCGATAGTGGGATTTCGGGTATACCAGCATTCTCCAACAGGTGGAGACCCATTCGGGCGCTCGTTTCCATTCCCAAAAGAACCGCGTCCTTTCGGCTCGGGGAACTGGTTCGGTGCGGTTCGGCCGTGTCGTCTCAAGCGTTGATTTTTGGTAAACCGTTGAAGGAACACAGGTTGTGATCCAGCAAGGCCTAATGATTTGACGACCTGACAAGGACGACATGACTGGGGAGGAGGTTGATGGTCATTTTGATGCGCTGGGAATTGGGGGAGTCATGGGGAATCAACCACTGTGGCGAAGTCAGCCGCCCCTACGCCTCTTTGAGTGGAAGCCCTTCGGTTTCTTTTTCGGACCCGTGGGCTCAGTGGGCTTCACTGAGGCAACGATGGATGCGGACGGATTCTTATGCCCGGCACTGGAGAGCCCCAAGGCCTCGAGGAGCTTCGCGAAAGGCCTCGAGTGACGACTGGGCTGACTCCAACCTAGAAGCGATGGCCTCCAACTTACTAGCAATAGCCTCCAACCTAGAAGCTGATTGCTGGGTTTCATTAAAAGTACAGAGACATGATGACGCCGGCGGTTGTGGGTGCTTATGTTTTTGTGAAGGGAGGGCGCGTTTTCTTCGCCTCAGCAGATAGATCTCCTTTCCACGGTATACAAGTGGTCGGAACACAGCTTACAATGCTTGCTTTGCACCATGATGTAGCTAGCTTCTATAGATCTAGCAGCTATAGCAGATGAAAGAGCAGAGGACGCTGGTGAACACTAGCAGATGGCACGGGTGGCAGATGGACGCTTTTTGTGCTACCCTTTTTTGGACCCGTGGTTCTTTGAGTCCAGGGCGGTCCAGGATCAAACAGGAGTTTGGTCCAGGATCCATTGGCATCACGAGATCTGAGATCTCCATCTCTTGCTGTGATGCTTTGAGCCCTGTCCTCAAAAAAACACTCATGAAGGCGAAGGCGTCCTTGTGGTTCCTGGCTGAGATATAGCAAGAAGTCACATGTAAATCTCAGAGTTTAAATTCATTTGGTCATGCGAGTCAGCGTGAGTTGTTTTTTCTCGGAACTAAAAGCGATTGAGTGGAACTCGTTGCTCGTGTGCTCACTGCAAGCATGGAACGATGCTGGTTCCATTTGACGTTGGCTTAGGAAAATCGGAGGAGGCACAGGGACCTCTTTGCCATCGGAGTGTTCATGACATGAATGAGTTAAGAATGTTAAGCAAAGATTCAAAGGTCTAATTGACCAAAATGGTCCTGCAGTTTACCAGACCACATGACCAGTAGACATCCTGCCTGCTGGGTCGGGGAAGCTCTGCATGAGAGGGGGGGCAGTCAGAAGGTTTGTGCTATGGGCAATAGCTGGAAAATGCACAGAAGGCCATCAGGTTCCAGCCTCTTGAAGTTCAGGGGTCCAGCCTCTTGATGCAGCCGAACCTGTGTCCAATAGACTTTAAGCGCCTATTCATAATTTGTGTCATTGTTTGTTGTGTACGGTCACTATTCTGCACCCTGAAACAACTAATTATAGTCATTAACATATATGTCTCGACTTGCATCATTTGGGCCGCACAAGCGCATATTCCCCATGACGTAAGGGGTTTGAGATTCTATTCACGACCCTTGAGGGGGGGTTCAAAACCCAAGCAAGGGTCCTCTTGATAAAAGAGCAAGACTCTTTCGTCATGTTCCCTACAAACATCAAACCGCCACACCTGGAGGATTATGAAGAGGTGGGGAACTCCTGGAACCTGTGTTTCACATGATATAAACCCGGTAACACCACCTCCGCTCCCAGGGGCCCCTGCGAAAACCCACCCAGGAGCTTCTCCACACCCTCCGAGCTGGTGCCACCCACGGAGCAGCACCTGGCGCGACAGGCGCGACCGCGAGCGGCAAGTGGTCCACACCGAGGGAAGACCGACGGCAGCGGGGCAGCAGGGCGGTTCGGTACATGGCGAGGGAGGAAGGGAGGGAAGGGAGAAGGGCAGACGCTGCGACCCGCCGTTCTGGTGCGTGGTGAACGAAGAGAGAGAGAGATAGAGAGAGAGAGAGAGACAGAGAGATGATAAAGAGAGCTGCAAAATGCTGCAAGGCCGTATTTGTTGTGTGCGGGAGAGGAAGGATGATGAAGGGTCTAGGATTGAAGGAGATGACCGGATCGATACGGTCGGGGAGGATGGTCTTCGGTTCTAGCGTCGCTCGATCCGGCGCTCACCGGATCGATGCGGCACAGTGAAGCACTGAAGCACCGGAGATCAGAGCCACGGGACACCAACATCCTTGAAGTCAGATGATTGAAGATGGCTTTGCTAGGTGACCACCAAGATGCTTGGTTTTGGTCAAGTGTGGACTCGTAGTTACATTAATATATAGCCCTTGCACTCAAAACGTGGAAAGAGGGCAAATGATGAAGTTTGCATGCCAGACAGAATCGTTGTTTGTTGAGCCATTACGGAAAAAAGGAGGCCTTCGGTTGTCGGTAGCCTTCAGTTCCCTAATGTCCTGACATGATTGTTTCAGAGTTTACAGACCATGTCTGAAATACAGAACTCGCACAGTGCCACACTAGGCTCTCAAGAAAAGCAGAACTCGCACTCTGTATCGTTTCGCAGAACTTGCTTCTCGCCATGGGTGGGTCGGCTGCCGCGTGGGTCGGCTGCCGCTGCCAGGGCATGGATGGCCGGCTCGGTGCCAAAGCAGTGGACTACATCGGACATGGGGTCCATGCCTCGGATGCAGTGCATGCTCCATAACGGTGGAGGCGATCAAGCAAAAAAACATATAATTAGCTTGGACCTCCAGCAACGGCCTCCAACCTACTGTAATAGCAATGGCCTCCAACCTACTAGCAATGGCCTCCAACATCCTCCAACCTATGGCAATGGCCTCCAACCTACAAGCAATGGCCTGCAACCTAATAGCAATGGCCTCCAACCTAATGGCAATGGCCTCCAACCTAATGGCAAAGGCCTCCAACCTACTAGCAATATCTAGCAATGGCCTCCAACCTAAAAACAATAGCCTCCAACATCCTCCAACCTAATGGCAATGGCCTCCAACCTAATAGCAATGGCCTGCAACCAAATAGCAATGGCCTCCAACCTAATGGCAATGGCCTCCAACCCAACCTAATGGCAATGGCCTCCAACCTAATGGCAATGGCCTCCAAC